TATTTGCCACCTCAAAGCAAACTCTTGGGCTACAGCTTCCCCATGCTCCCCAGGGCAGGAGGCTTTCAGCTTGCAGGGGGTTATAACTGTGGTGTTAGCCATCTAAACCAGAATTTCCTAAGTAGGATGCCTGCCTCTGACTTTGTCTTGGGAAGTTTGGGTGCAGCCACATGTTCAAGAATGAGCTCAAGCAGAAAAATGTGCTGTTTCTCTCCTACTTGAAAGGAGCAAAGAGTTGTTTGGCAGACAGGCTCTACCACTTCCCAGCCACATATCAGCCGGACACCTGCTCCCAGGATCACAAAAACAGGGCAGATCCAGATGAGTTCTGAGCCTCCAGAAAATGGCAATTTTCATATCATCTAGCCCTGTCTGTGACAAGTCTTAGAGTCTGCCTGCGGAGCTCCCCCATCTCTCACATCAGAGGCTAATGATACTACCAATAAACAGGTAGTGCCATCACAAAGCCCAGGAAACTTAGGAAATGCCAGAAATAACATTGCCTAATTTATGGTGGCTGTATATTTTATACACACACAGGGTGTGTGTATATTTTTGATAGAGACATTAATGGCGTTAATTTCATTTTGCTTTTTCCATCTTGCCCCATACACAAGACAAATGGGGTTTTGAGAACGTGTCAGGCTGTGCAGGAAGAACTGTGGCCCCTGCAGCCCTCAGCCCATGAGGAAGAGAAGAGCTGGGGCTGGAGGGGGTTCTCCTACAGCAGGAAGGCAGTTAGGTACATGCCATCCCTGGCCTCCCTACCAGTAACACTGCACAACCATTGCCAACACTTTCATCACAGAGCACTACCTGTTTTTTATCTCTCAGTGCCCAAAATAGGAGACCCTGAGATTTATTTGGATGAATAAATACATTCACAGCCAAAACCAGAGCAAAATCTGCTCTGAACAGGTGAAATAAAAAGTGCTGAAGGACCAGGCAGTGCTGACATCAGAATGGACATCAAGATAACTCAAGTCTTATAGAATTATCTTCTGGGCCTCAGTTACTCATCCATGAAGTGGGATAACAAACACTTCACCTCCTGCAGGGGGTATAAAAATAAATGCATGGTGTTTGTGGAGCACCTGAAGATCACAGTAACAAGGACTAAACAAGGTCTAGATCACATTGCTCTTTCAGCATTAGTAGAGGATTTTGCTCCTGTGCTTTACGTAAGTCCCTATCACCTGCTGAGCGAGCAGATAAAATGAGACCCTGGCTGACTTCGGGGCTGAATGAGGCAGGGGATCTGGTGAAAACAGAGTATGTGCTTGCCTAGGTCCAAACAGCACATCTGTGTAGTCCTTCTGGGTGAAAAGGACCTTTCCGAGGTGGTGAATCTGTTCTATGGGGCAATAAAACACATCAACTCTTGCACTAAGAACTGCTTTCCCCAACAACTGGGAAGGGAGGTCTCTGCTGGAAAGTGTTCAAACCCCAGAAAAAACACAGCTGAGGAAGCACAGGCTGTGCCTCAGCTGAGCCTTGGTACTTCTGGGGTGGGATGTTATTTACAGCCAACACACTCGGGGTCCCCAGGCAAGTTGCTTTTCTTCTCTACACCTTAGCTCAGCCTCTAAGGCTTTGCAAAGAACAGCTACATGACTCATATGAGAGTAGGTGGGCTTTAAGTACAGTCTGTTATGAGGTTGGGGATCCTGCATGACAAGGGTTCAAAAGTACAGCCTATCATCACAACTCTGTACCGATGAAATAAGACACTGTTGACAAAGCAGCTCGTGTTTTCTTACCCAAGTCAGCGTATCTGGTCCAGAAGTGCCCGAGGCCACCAGAGCTGAGCTGGAATGAGGGCTCATTCCTCTTCCTTAGCGAGGGGCCATTCCTCAGAGATAAGGCGGCATGCTCTGAATACCGGTAGGTGATGAAGCCATATTTATCCCCCCTGAGCAACCAGAGAAAGAATTCAAGATGCGACAGACCCCACAGTCCCTCATCTCTTGGCATTGTGCCCTCTTGCACCAGTCAGCTCCTGCCCTCCACATTCTCCCTGAGCAGGGCCAGCCTTGTTGTGGGGACATGTACTATTTGTGGTAAAAAAAACAGTTCTAGAAAGAGGGACACATCGAGCCTCCTCGCGCAATGGCTGAGAGCTGGGTGCAGCACAGGTTGGGTCACTGAGTGCTCTGGATTTAGACCTGTCGAGGGCATTTTGCCCCACCTGCACAAAGTTAGCAGCCTGCCGGCTTCACACACTGCAGCTGGGGGCACAGGTGAGCACGCAAAGGCTGGAAGCAGCTGCTGATATTGCTACTGGGAGAGAGGGCCTTTTGCTGTTGCAGCCCTGGGGGAGAAGGGCAGGCACGCAGCTGTGCCACGCTCTGCAGGCTTCCCAGTGCCTACCTGTTAGTCCTGGACAGGACCTGGCACTCCACGATTTCCCCAAACACTTCAAAGCGCTTCTTCAGTTCACTGGAGCTCATGTTGCTGGAGAGGTTTCTGATATAGACCACCCTGCCTTCCCCCTGGCAAACACAAGGCAAGTGGTTAGGGATCATTCCAAGCCCAGCCTCTGCTTCTGCTGGTGGATGAGTGAAATGCAAGTCTCCAAGGAGCCTGCGTGCCCTCACGATGCAGCATTGCTGCACCCGCTCTGGAAATGGGGCTTCAAGAGGCTGCTACACACAGGCTCAGCCCTGCACTAGCCTGGTTGGTAATTCCTGAGACGCACAGTGCTACCTGTGCACCAATTCATGGCTAGTCCAGGTATTGCTCACAGGGAATCTCTACCGCAGGGCTCAGCCATATAACATGTCTCTTCGAACAGAGCTGCAGCCAGCCTGAAGCAACCACATAGCCTTTCTTCCCAATCAGATTTCTCCTGAAGCCTCGTTTTCCTACATTAAGTTGTCAGGAAATATTCTTGAGCATTTCTGGGGGAAGAATTCAGTTGTGCCAGAAAAAAATGCCAGAAGGGGGTGTGTGAATGTGTGTGTGTGTACAGCAGAACAGAGCAACTATACATTCCCTGCCTGCACACACAAACCCCACTCATGCATACACATGCATGGAGTTGCCACGTGCCTCTGCGGCTCTCTCCCTGCAGCAGGGCTTTCATCAATAATAGCTTAGCAATTTCAGGGATTCCCATCCTTCACCACCCTAATTGCCAATTCCAAGGGCATGGAAGCACTGACATAGGATGCTCGGGACAGTCCTGTGCCAAGGACTCTGTGTATTGCCAATTTCCAATTGCTTCTGTTTCACTTTAGGTTCCCCCCTGCCATGGCCTGGTTTAGCACTGGCCTTGCACCAAGGGAAGCTGAAGCCAGGGCTAATATGTGCTCCACCATCTCTTTTCTGGAGCAGGAGATGAATTGGGGCTTGTGAATTGCTTTTTCCTGGTGCTGACATAGGTGTCAGCAGGAGGAAGCTGTCTGCTGCCCCTGGAAGCGGGGCCGCTTCCGCCCCATTCAGCACGGTGCCCGCAGGTCACTTACAATGGCCTTTTCTCTCCTCTTCTCCATCTGGCCCCGGTTTGCATTGCCACCTTGACACTGCTCACTGTTTTCACATCTGCGAAGCAAGAGAGGAGTTCAGCCCCAAAAGAGGATCCTGCACGGAAAGCTTCAAACATCCAAAGGAAACTGAGGCAAAGTCAATTCTGCAGGGGCAGGCAGGAGCTTGGGAAACACGGGCAGCTACAGAGGGCTGCAGGGGGTGATCCAGAAAGCATCACGCTTTTCCGATTGGGCCACTTTCTCTTGCACCTGCTCTGACACTGAAGATACCGGGAAATCCTTATTTACAGATGCGGGAGGGACTCCATAACCAGCCCTTACCCCAGGAACTGCTCCGTCCTGTGCAGTCAGGTAGTACCTTTGGCTAGAGCTTGGCCATGGCTCACGCCAGTGCGGATGGACAGGAAAACCTGAGTGAAGCTGCCTCAGGGCTCGTGTCAAAAACAGGGGCCTCCAATACTCCTTCGGGAAAGCACTGATCTCCTCGATTAGCGAGGACCATGCAGGGTCATGCTGAGGATCCAGCATTGTCTCAAGCAGTGACCAAATGCAGAAAGAAACTAAGAAACTGCAGGGAAAGAACTGCCCCAAATACTGCTGCCTGTAACTCTTGCTCTGGTTTCTGTATATTTAGCCACTCACAATATACTTCTCTTCTCTTGACAGGCTTCCTGTTTCTGCTGATTCAGCCTCCCCCTGACCCTGGGCCAATTTTCAACATCCTCCACAGATGCATGCAGGTTGTGTGATGAAGCACTTGGCTGTAGTTGGTTTGAACCTGCCTCCTCTTAGTTCCATTTAGTGCTATGTAGTTTTTGCATCAAAAAGGATAACGAATGCTCAGTCCTTATTTACTCCCCTCAGGGATTTTATGAGAGACGGTTCATGCAGAGTTTATGTCAGAGGCAGGACAGAGAGCGCAGTCACGTGCTCTGTCCTGCATCTCTCTCCTTAGCCTGTTGTCCCTGTCTGCCTTCTAGAGCCCCGCTGCCAAAAGGCACCAAGCCCTGTCACTGCCCACCTGTACCTGAAGGTGCGCCTGCTTGCTGGAGATCGGGACCGGCAGCACGAAGACCCCGAGCTGGATCTACTCCGAGAATAGTAGTGCAAACTGCTCCTGGACAGGGGGTTTCTCCGCAGGCAAAGCTTTGTGTCCAGTGGACTATCGCAGTGTTCTTCCTCTTCCTCCTCTTCCTCCTCCTCCTCTTCCACTAGAGAGCCACTCTCGCTGCAGCTGTCATCAAAGACAGTGTCATACTCAGGGGTCTTGCAGAAGGCCATGTCCTCATCATCAAGAGCGCTGTCCAGAAAGCCGAAGTGCTTGGTTAAACTGGCTCTGATCTCCTGGTCTCTCAGCTGCTTGAAGCCACCTTTCCACAAGATCTCGCTGCTCGTCTCCTTGCCGCTGAGGTCCAGGCCCTGGTAATGTGCGTCTGGGACCCTCCTCTTGTGGTCAGTCTCCACGTGGCTCGGGGGCTCCCAGGACTTGAGCACCTTCCTCTGGAGAGCAGCCTCAGGCTTCATGACCTGGCAGTAGTCATGGTCTCCAAAGGAGCGTGAGAAGGGCCGTTTCAGCACTCCCTGCTGCTCAGGGAGAGCCGGGCACGCGGCAGCTCGGCTCAGGTGGGCAAAGAGCTCTGTCCTCTCGGGGTGCTTCTTCGGGGGTTTCCGGGGAGCTGCCACATCTGCTGTGATCCCAGGGCTGGTGGTGGTGGTATTCTCCTTCCCTCCCTCCTGAGGGATATCTGGCTTGTACAGGTCCTCCTCAGCTGGTTTGTATGGTGGCGTGGTGGGCGGTGTGAGACCTTAACCCCCCCAGAACAAACCACAGGAGTCAGCCCTCTGAGGAGGGTTTGTGTCAGTGCAGCACTACACTGTGCTAGGAGAAGTGGGCCCAGGGAGTCTCCAGAGGGAACCAATCCACTGCCTCACTTCAATGCCTGCTACTTATTTCTCGCCTCCAACTCAAAAGGCCCATTGCAAACAATGAGTTGGAGGCCAGCAGCAACCATAGGGAAGGCTTTTCCCTCCTCAGTCCCCTCCTTCCCCACCTTCAGGTGTTTCGTGGACACCCTGAGCTGTGCCAAGGGACACCTGAGCTGTGCCAAGGGACACCTTGGGCCAAGCCCTTGCTTCCTTCTGCTACACAATTTGCGTGGAGTGTTAACATCTTGACTGATCTCAACACCCAAGTTAGACCAGACGTGTCTGGGAAGGAGGCTGCTCTGGAAACCTCCCTTAATGCGAGCCTATGTGGTACCCCTCAACCTCCACCTCTGTGGCCTCATTCCTCAAACATCACTCTGGGGGAAAACAAGGATGTCTGGTACCAACACGATCAGCGGATCCTCCCTGCACTCCCAGCCTGTGTAGAGATGTGCCCTGTCCCAAACTTGTTCACCAGCACCTGCCTTTCTAAAGGAGAGGCTTGCAAGCTGCTCTTGGAGCTCCCAGCACAGAGGCAGCACATGGTAAATCCCCTGGCTTCACTGCATGGGGAGGACTCCTTGCCCGGGAAGGACCAAAACGGTGCTCCTCTAAGCTGGGCACAGCCAGAGCTGGGTGACTCCGGGCTGAATTTACCTCCCCTCAGAGGAGGCTGTTACCTCCCCTCAGGATAAATGCTGGTGATGTAGGAAGGAAGCACTGTCCTACCTGCTGTCCCACATAGCTCCACGGTCAGCACTGGCTCAAAGTTTCTCTTCCCAAAGGTTGGGTCCCTGAGGGAAGAAGAAAATGGGGAGAGAGAAGGTGTTCAGATGAACCACAATCCAAAAAAGAGGAGACTTGCACTCCTTGGGCCTGCAGAAGAGCTTTGTGATGTGGCCAGAAGCTCCCAGCCCCTTGCACTGGGGCAACAAGCGAAGCCACAGTCCAGCAGCAGCCTCTGCCCTGCGACCCGTCTGCAGCTCTCCCGGTTTGCTCCGTGTGAGCTGCCCTGGAGCTCGCACAGCCAGGCACGCCGGGGCGGCTCTGCAGCCCCAGTGAGGTGCGCGGGGCCAACACAGGTCTGCTGACACTTACGTGTGCGCCAAGGACAGGGTGAGACACCGGGGTGTTTCTGAAAGACAAGGAGAGAAGCAGCATTACTGATGAGCCGTGCTCGCTGCGAGGCCGGGGCTCGGGGAGCCGGGGCAGGGGGATGCTGCTGCAGGGCAG